GTCGAAGAAATAGAATTGGAACATTGGTTGTCTTGCTTTCTATACCGTGCACATTTACCAGTCAACGTCGAGGACTTAATAACACACGAGGTGCTCAGATTGGCCCATTCAACGTTGAATAATCATGTGGGGTCAGGGTCGGGGTCGAAGACGAAGGCATATGGGATTGTTGTTGATGTTGTCGTTCGAATATTGCAAAGTCCGGATGAGTGAGGACGAGGCGATTGCTGGGGCTATTAGGGAATCCATGGAAGTTGTCAGTTTTGTGGCTGCCACTAAATCATCCATTGAAGCATTAGAGAAATTGCATCCCCCCTTGACAATTATTTGGTTAAACAGTGTGTGATTTGCTTGGAATCGCTTTCAGTAGGGGAAGGGGTCGAAGAAGAGGTTATTCGCATGCCGTGCTCTCATATATATAATAACATATGTATTGTCAGTCAGTTGGAGAATAGTCACCTGTGTCCGCTTTGCCGTTTTGCAATGCACCATTGATTTTTGGATTAATTACTTAAAAGGTATATCTACATATTTGGTGGTAGTTTAGGTCTTATTAAAAAGTTTTTGAACTAATAAGTCTCATTTATAGGTAAAAAGACGTTTTACCCTTTAATTTCAAAATTGAGAATGTTCTCAATTTCAAAATTGAGAATATTCTCAATTTATAATTATCAAAACTAAGAAATTTCTCAATTTTTTTCCCTCCTAATATGAGCTGAGAATATTATCAAAACTATCAAAACTAAGAAATTTATAATTATCAATTTTGACAAATTTTTCAATTTTTTCATGATTAATATAAGAAATTGAGAGAGATTGAGAGAGCAAATTAGCTCTGTATTTTTGATGTATTTAGCAACCAAATGGAACCTCCATTATATAGGAGATGAGTTACAAGACAAAATAATGAAGCCACCGAAAGATAGCAAAAGGAAAAGAAAGCATCTCTCTCTCAATCTCTCTCAATTTCTTATATGGTATCAGAGCACAGGTTTTCTGCCTAGCCTCTTCTTCCAACATATTTTTTCTGCAGATTGCATTTCATCTGTATTCATTTTTCGTCCATCTCTGAAATAAAGTTTTCACCACACCAGAGCCTTCGTCTCCTCCGGACGATTCCAACGCCACCAATTTCAGCCCAATCAAACATTACACGCGCTCTCACGCGCCACTTCTGTGAACGGCGCGTCGCTGCCTCCGCCTTCCGCCTCACACGCGCTCTACACGTCCTCCACACTGTCCCGTGCTAACGTGCACCACGCACTACCTTGCTAACATGCGCCGCGTGTTTCTGACGTCAGCACACGTCAGCCCTCTCTGCTACCGTGCACTGCCTGGCCTGTTTTGCTATCGTGCGCCGCGCCTTTCTTGCTAACGTGCCCCGCGCCTCTTTGCCTCTCATTTTTTGTGCCTCTGCGGTCATATTTTGGGTTGTTTCACTCCTTTTCCCACTAATTTCGGCCTTCTGAATTCACTGGTAACCTCGGTTTTTTCAGATTCTACCACCATTGTGCTATTTTTCCCTCATGGATCGCCCAGATTCCTCTAATCACCCTATTTCCGTTATTCTTGACGGGACTAATTATGTCCTTTGGGCACAAGCCATGTCTGGCTTCCTCAAAGGCAAGAAACTTTGGCGTATCATTACTGGGGATGTGTGCAAACCAGTCCCAGCAACCACGGAATCCGCTGCCACGGACTCCGCTGCCAAATATATCGACCGACTAGAAGATTGGGATAGTAAAAACTATCAGATCATCACCTGGCTTCGCAATACTTCTATTACATCCATCAGCCTTCAGTTTGGTAGGTTCCAACTTGAGTCTGCTTCCTCTCCAGCTAAGGCCATCTGGGATTTTTTGCAAGAACGCTATCAGACTACCGGTCTTGCTCACCAATATCAGCTTCTGAGTCATCTTCACCGTATGCGCCAAGAAAACACTCAGACCATTAATGATTTCCTCTCCCAAATGTATTATGTTTGGGATCAACTCGCTCTTTCTGAGCCTCCATGTCCTCATACTGAGGATGCTGCCTTGTTTACTACCTACCGTGACCAACAGCGCTTGGTTCAGTTTCTCATGGCTCTCACTCCTCGTTTTGAGCCCGTCCGCGCATCTCTCCTACATCGCACTCCTTTACCCACTCTTGAGCAAGCCGTTTCTGAACTCCTGTCCGAGGAAACCAGGTTTGGTACTCTCCATCCACACCCTGTGGACTCTGTTCTTGCTACTCCCCAGATTCGGAGTTCTCCTTCACCACAGCGGTCCACTACCTGCAACTATTGTCACAACTGCAATCTTCCATCGACTCATCTTCTGGTTCATTGTCCCGTTCGTCTTTGTCGATTTTGCAACAAGACTGGCCCCGGTCATCTCCAACAAGATTGTTTCCGCAATCCTACCCGTGCCTCTCGCCATGGTCCTTCCACCGGGAATCTTTCCCGCAGCAACTCTCACTGTTCTGGGACTCCATTTAAAAACATGCCTGCTCCACGCACTGCTGCTGCCGCCTCCGAAGATTCACCTTCTTTTGTCCCTGTAGATCCTTCCACTCCGGTCTTCTCTCATACCGATGTTGAAGCCATGTTTCAACATTTTTGGCAGCATTCCGGTACTCCTCCATCTACTGCTTTGTCTACCACCGCAGGTAACACTTCCTGGTACTTTGACTCCGCTTGTTGTAATCACATGACCTTTGATCCTACTATTTTTACTCCTCTCTCTTCGACTCCTCATGTTCCTTCTATCCATACTGCTGATGGGTCTCTTCTGTCTGTAAGTCATGTTGGGTCTGTTTCCACCTCTCGCTTATCTTTATCCCATGTATATCTTATGCCTGCTCTCACTTTAAATCTTATCTCCATTAGTCAATTATGTGAGCATGGTCTAACTGTTACATTTTCTCCTACTGGTTGTTTGGTGCAGGACCCTCGGACCAGGCAAACTCTTGGGATAGGCCGTAAGCAAGGACGTCTCTACAAACTTATCCATCTTCATGTTCCGGATTCCTCTCAAATCACTGCTCCTATTACTGCTACCACTGCTCCTCCTTTATCTCATTTTCAGCTTTGGCACTATCGTTTGGGCCATCTTTCTGTTGGTCGTTTGAAGTCTTTAATTTCTAGTGGTCATTTGGGTACTGTAAGTTCTGATGCTTTCAATTGTGTGTCCTGTCAACTTGCAAAACAACCTGCTTTGTCGTTTAATAAAAGTGATTCTGTTTCTCTTGCGCCCTTTGATCTCATTCATTCTGATATTTGGGGACCCTCTCTTACTCCTACTATGGGAGGCGCACGTTATTTTGTTGTTTTTATAGATGATTTTTCTCGTTTTACATGGTTGTTTCTTATGAAAAATTGCTCTGATACCATATAAGAAATTGAGAGAGATTGAGAGAGCAAATTAGCTCTGTATTTTTGATGTATTTAACAACCAAATGGAACCTCCATTATATAGGAGATGAGTTACAAGACAAAATGATGAAGCCACCGAAAGATAACAAAAGGAAAAGAAAGCATCTCTGTGCTAGGCTAGCAACAACTATGCAACAACTATCTATATCTAATATAATATCTACATAGATTATCTACGATTATAATAACTACATATAATAATACTATTACGATTATTAACAATACCTACATATAATAATACATATAATAATACTATTACGATTATAATATCTACATATAATAATATTAACAATTAAAATTGAAAATATTATAAATTGATAAAGTTCTCAATTTCAAAAAATCCTAGATATCTCTCTCTCTCTTAGCTGTTCTATGACTCTCTCTCACTCTATATTAAGAAACATTAGTCACTGAAGCCTCTTCATACCCATCTTGCGAACTTTGCGTGGGCTTTCATGGTCGTCTCGTCCTCCTCCGCTGTGAACGCACGGTGCTCCACTTGAGGTGACAGCTGGTTGCACCACCGTAACTGGCACGATTTCCCGGATCAACCTGGAATCTATTTGCTAATCAGCAACTAGTTCCTTGGCCCGTGCCTCTGCACCAGGGTTTGCAACAGTTCATCCTCTTCCGGACTCCACGAACCCTTGATCTGAACCACATCCTTCCTACACAAAGACGCCATAGATTCAACCCCTTAAAAAACCTAAAATTTCGGCAACAAATGGACTACGATCGCTCAACTCCTTTCGAGTCGTACCGACAACGCGATCAAGAACCACTGGAACTCACTCTCTTCTCAGAGCAAAGGTGAGGCCCTGCCTCTCCCCCATTAGAGCACCCACCAGGCTACTATAGCTCGCCTGGAGCTTGTTGAAATGGTGAATTGGTCTATTAAAAATTAATGAGATTTAAAGGAACAAATAATTTTATCTAAGACTTAATGGATTATAAATTCACAAAATGGGACTTGTATGTAAATGGCCCTTGATTTTTTTATTTTAGAAAGTAATGCACCATGGATTTTCATCTATATTTTTTGTTACTTAACTTGATTAACCATTTATCATTGTTTCTTAGCTAGGTTTTTTTCTTGGTACAAGGAGATCCATTTTGAGTTTTGATAAAATTTCTTATGATTGAATCTTAAAATATATATTTTGAATAACAAAAAACTAGAGCACATGCATGTTACACAAAACATTAATATAGTTATATTTTAACTAGAATTATTGATTTAAAAAATGTGGGATTAAGTTTTGATCAGCTCGATTCCTAATCCCACCCTTGAAAAATGTCCTCACATATGCCAAGTGAAAAATTATATATAATTTTTATTTTTTTTATTATAGTAAGCCCTCGTTTGGCAAGTTACTTTTTTAACCAAAAAGGTAAAAGGTTACTAAAAAAATTAAAAAGCCAACAACTCATACTAAAAAGTCAAAGATTCCATTTTCTCTTTATTTTTTGCACATTTTTTCGTAAAAAGTTAAAATGTCATTCCAAATATACTAATTTTTTTTACATCACATTTTAGTAAAAAAGTTACTAAAAAAACCTGTTCCAGACGAGGCCTAAGTATATATAAGTTGAAAATTCTAAATTTCATAGCTTATGGATTTAACCAACTTCAAAGTAAAGATTACAATGGTCTTTACAACCACTTATTAGTGCCATTCTATTAACTCGTATACTATTCCAAAAAAAATATAACCACCCAACACTACTTTTGATTCATCTGCTTTAATTTCAACTGCAAACAAACAAACAATCCAATCCATGTCTTCAATTGTCGTGTGAATTTCCAGTCTGTCCAGATGTTCTCTCGTTAATCACATTTCAACAGATACAAAATGCTCCAAACCTTCCAACATTACAATATGCTTCCCCAAGGGCAATATCCTTGTTCCGTTATCATCCACGATGCTAAAATGCTTGCACGGGTCTACCTGTATGCTTGTTTCAGCAGTTGTCAGTAATTTTGAAAGAACCCGAGTAAATCCAATTAGAGTTTTTCGAGGGGCTCCTCTAATCCTTCTTGCCAATCGAGTGAACAGCATTACGACATGATTCCCATCCATACCTTCATTGTTAAACACAGTGATGACCGCTTGAAATCTCAACAAATTACACGACGTAATCTTATTAACATCTACATAATCAATCCCATCCGCTGTCTTGTTGACCCTGGTCATAGTTGGCAAACTCACTTTGTCTGGTAAGGATGCAAATTTGCAAGTGTAATTGGAATAACTCAAACCATGTCCAAATTCATACACCACATCCCCCGTGTAGAACCGGTAAGTTCGTCCTGGGTAGCCTCGCGAAGGGTTGGATCGTAAACTCATATCATTCATAGGCACATTGGTAAAAGATTCTGGATACCATGTCATTGGGAGCCGCCCACCTGTTTTTCTTAGAAGGTGAACATCATTCTCCATTTGATACAAATAATTGAATCCTAGGCTTCACAATAAAATTATAGTCGCTCACTACTAACCTGGATTGAGCTTTCCAAAGATGACTTCTGCAATCGCTTGTCCGCCAGCCTCGCCCGGGTATCCTATCCAAAGAATGCTTGCAATTTCTGGGTTCTCTTTTGCAAAAGATACATCAATAGGTCCACCTCCCATTAAGATAAGAATAATAGCCGCTTTATTTGCAGAGGAAACAGCAGAGATTAGATCCATTTGTCGACCGGGCAATAGGAGGCTCACCCTGTCACGCCCTTCGTTTTCTTGAGACAAATCAAGGCCCGCAATCACAATGCCCACATCAGATTCTCTGCTAACATGAACAGCTTCCGCAAAGCCGTCACTCGAATTGCATTGTATGTTACTACAACCACTAGCATATAAAGTTTTTGATACATAAGGCCAGAATCCCTCAAAGAGGCTCCTTGAATTACAAGGCACACCTACATAGCATTGAAAAGAAAAAATAAAAGAAGTCCACAAATATGCAATTTTCAAAGCATTCAGCTTAATATGAAGTCAATTATGCTACGAACACAAAAATAAACAGAGAATGCAATGTGAATGGACAAGATTTTATAGGATTTGTTGACGGTGTTCACTTCAAAAAATCACTGTCCATATATGATGGCTAATGAGGCATATGAAGCAGACTTATTCATATGAAGCATACCTGTGTAGTCTCCACCAAGTTGGCTGGAATCATTTGCTAAGGGTCCAATGATGGCTAATGAGGCTATAAGCTTCTGATTTAATGGTAAGAACTTATTTTCATTTTTCAAAAGTACAATTCCTTGCCTTGCTGCTTCCAATGCCAATTTCCTGTGTTCTGCAGAACAAACGTCCGGAGGACCCAGATTTGCAAATGACCCCTTTCCAGGCTCTCCGTTGAAAAACCCCAGGCGAAATTGAACTGAGAGCAAGTTCAAAAGAGCTCTGTCGATGTCATCCTCTTGAATTTTTGATTGCTTAATTGCTAATTGAGTATACTGAAGAAAATATGTACCACAGTTCATATCAACTCCTGGCCATCAAGATTGAGTAAAACATTTATCAGAAAATTTAGGGCACGACTTAGCTTTAAGGGGTCCCTAAGGCTGTACATGAGTGGTCTAAGGACATAATATGAACAATCGCAGAAGGTCTTGAGCTAGGAAGCACGGATACAGATACGGGATACGGATACAACATGATACGGATACGGCGATACGACAAAATTTGAAAAACTAGGATACGGGTACGGCGGGGATACATTCGTAAAAAATATTATTTTAACAATTTTTAATAATGCAGTATGCATAAAAATAAAACCTAAAGCAAAAGACAACTTGATAAAGAAGAAAGATTCCTATAAAACTAAGAGTCTTCAAGGTCAAAGCCAAAAAACCATTCTTAAATAAAAATTTCAGCAAATATACTTTTTTAAGTCATCAATGATAGCCTAAGAAGCACGGATACGGATATGGTGATATGGGGATGTGGATATGGCGATATGTCAAAACTTGAAAAAGTATGATACGGGTACAGCGGGGATACATTCGTAAAAAATTTTTTTTTTTATAATTTTAATAATGTAATATGCGTGAAAATAAAACTTAAAGTAAATTAATAAATAAAGAGAGGGATTCCTATTTAACCTAAAAGTGCTCAAACATTCATAAAACATCCAAAACTAAAAGCAAAAGCAAATGCAAATGTAAATGCAAGTTAAACATCATCCTTACATGCCAACATCAAAAAAAGAATGAGAGCAGAGAGAAGAAACGTGAGAGAGTGAGAAAGCGAGAGAGAAGTGAGAGAGACAACAAGGATATATCAATTTGACAAATTCTATTACTTTAACTCTCACTATATTCCTCTTATCAAAGAACTAAACAAAATATTATAAGTAATATGTAACTTCGAGTATTCGATACTTCAAAATTAAGTATCCGATACTTCAAAATTAATAAAAAATTAATTAAGAAGTATCCGCTACTTTTAAGAAGTATCCGATACGTATCCGAAGAGTATCGGTATCCGATGAGTATCGGTATCCGATAAGTATCCGATACGGATACGTCACCCTTTTTGAAGTATCCGTGCTTCATAGGTCTTGAGAATGGGAAGACTAATAGGCTTTCTCCTTTGATCGGGAAGTAGGAGTAGAGAGGTGGGAGAGTTATAAGATCGCAAATCCCCTCAATTAGGAAGCATTGACACGTCAAAATGAGTGAATGTAGCAGATACTGACACACAACAGACACACAACAGACATGGGAGTCCATGTGTTGGAGTGTTAGTTTCTTTAACTATTATTTTTTGTAGGATACATTGGGACACTTCGCGAACGTGTTGTCCTGTGTTTGGACATGCCTCAAACACCTTTGTTTGTGCGTGGTTTTTTTAATATTTTAAAAAGCTTATTTCGAATCAAAGGAAAATAAAAAAAAATAAAGAGAGGAGAAAGTACAAAAAAAATAAAAATACACCCATATTGTAGAGACCCTAATTTTTTTTTGTCATTACACTTGAAACCCTGAGCCTTAGGCTAATAGCATTTTAGCCCTAGTTTCGTAAAAGTCTACGCAAGGTCTCAAGTAAATAATAACTTCTCAGTGTGTTACCATAATTAAATCATAGAACGCCACTTTATGATTGGAACTATCCTAAAACTTGGTTTTATTTATTTTGCCTCATAATTTCTAAATTAATTCACACATTTTATTTTATTTCTATTTTTTTTTTGTTTTTGTTGTTCTTTCATTTATTATTTATTTGAATGGAATACTATTGTTTATTTGGATATATACATAGTTTAAATATATACATATATATATATATAATATGTTGGTGGAAAAGTGATTGGATAACAACAAACAAAAATAAAATAAAATAAAATAAAATAAAAAACTATCTAGATATTTAGTTATCTTAGCCATTAAGCTACCTTATATTATATAAATTGAGGGCTTGTCCAAATCCACTCCCACGTTTTTCTAAAGCCCAAGGAGAGGGTGAGAGAGGGAGAGTTGGCTCAAGGGAAGGGAGAGAGAGAACTAAGAAGAAGAAGAAAAAAAAAGGGGAAAGAGAAGGAATTCTTGAAGGTAAGAACATACCTCTTCCTTATTTTCTCCAATCCTTTCATCATCTCATTCTATGGTCTAGTATGCCTCTTGTGTTACAAATTGATGGTAAATAGGGTGTTTTTTGGTGTGTGTGAAGGTGTGGGTATGAAATAGTATCATTGTCTTGCAAATTTGTGAAATTAGGCACTGCTTCAACTTCTCTAATTTAAAAGAAATATCAAATCTATCTAATTCTCAAATCTGAATTTATTGTAGGATATTTTATGTGTTTAGAGCTTGTGAAAATTTTATTAGCTCCTAATTGTGTGTTTTTAGGGCTTGGATAATTTGTTGAAAAATCTGGTCCTGAATCTCTTGAAACAGTCCACTTTTAGCAATTTTATAAAATTCTAGAAAAATCATCTTGTTGGTTCTTCTGTCAAATTTAGAACTCTGAGTCCTCTTTCCAACAGATTTTATTTGAGTGAAAACCATCGGTAGATTGAGAGAAAAGTTAGTTCCCAAAGGTGTACAAATCTGGACAGATTTTCGAACTAGTTTGTAGATGAATTTGTGGAGGGGCTGTGCAACTTTTGAAAATTGGAACTGAAACTAGACAGATTGAATATTGTTTCCGTGCAATTTCAGCCCCTAATTTGGCCTAGAAGTATTTTTACCAAAGCGTTCTTGTTAGCCCTGCAGAACCGAACAGTGCTGGAAATTGTGTTATATTATGTTATTTGTCTCTAAATGTTTCAAAGCCTTTTTAATGTTATTTTCTTGCCTTACTATACTTATGTATGATGACCATGGACTATATTTCCTCTAGTATGTTTTTCCCATACTCGTTTAAATGACCGAATTATCGAATGTGACTAACTTATCTAGCAAAAGATCTAATAAATGGGAAATGATAAGGGGTTGGCAATGGGTGACGTTTATCTTAGTGTTTTAGAACAATTTTATACATATGCATGACATGAATTAGGATGGGATTAATACCAAATGAGTTAAGTCTTGCGTAAGCAGTTTAGGCGAGCCCCTAGGTTGACCCGGATGTATTCAGACTCTATGCGGTGGATTCAGGGTGTAAGCGAGCCCTAAGCACGAATTGGTATGGTATGTGCAGGGTGTAAGCGAGCCCGAGGCACGATTTAGGTGTAAGCGAGCCCACTTGTTGGCCGTCCCTTTTGAGGTCCATCAATGCCACTGACAGGTAAATAACCGGGAGGTGGGCATGGGTGGTAAGGTCTGCAAAGCAGCAAAAGGGGGAGTTCTGAGTAGTCCGGTGTTTAATCTTGTGGTTGGGTAGAAGGATCTCTTTGGGGGGATTCTAAATGCCTAGTCTAACTACTAATTTACAAAACCTTAATGGAAGTATGTTATGTTATCTGATTTGTTTTGTGTATGATTGATTGATAGAAGATATGGGGGTGTGTGTGTTTTTATTGGGCATTCCAAGCTCATGGCATGTCATGTCAGGTGAAGAAGCAGCTTACGACGGGGAAGGTGATCCCGAAGGCAATCAAGATGAAGTTTTAGAGCCGTGGTTCACTTGAAAACTTGGACTAGTAGTTTGTTTTTGTGTTCTCTCTTCTTTTACCTTTTGGTTTGACAATGTTTGTAAACCTCTAGTGGAACTCAAATCAGTTATCTATGTTATAACTCTGCTTGTATGTGTATATTAACATATTGTGGTTATCTCTTTTGTTTGGTGTATGATTGATTGATATAAGATATGGGGGTGTGTGTGTTTTTATTGGGCATTCCAAGCTCATGGCATGTCATGCCAGGTGAAGAAACAGCTTACGACGGGGAAGGTGATCCCGAAGGCAATCAAGATGAAGTTTTAGAGCCATGGTTCACTTGAAAACTTGGACTAGTAGTTTGTTTTTGTGTTCTCTCTTCTTTTACCTTTTGGTTTGACAATGTTTGTAAACCTTTAGTGAAACTCAAATCAGTTATCTATGTTATAACTCTGCTTGTATGTGTATATTAACATATTGTGGTTATCTCTTTTGTTTGAGTTGTACTTTATATATTTCTCTTGCGGTCTCAAAACTTTGGGGCGTGACACATATATACATTGATATCTCTTATATCTCAGTATTCTAAATTTATATTCATATACATAGTAAATAATTTTTTTTTGTGCCCCATGTTTGTATCCATGTCCATGTCCATGCTTCCTAGCCCCTCAAGCTCACATAGTCACACCTCACAAGGGAACACTCACATAAGGTGTATCCCTCACATCAAATTATTGGACAGACACAAGTAGTTCCAAAGGTATACACTATATGGAAATCAAAATTCATTTTTCTACTTAAATTTAGATGAGCTATTTTCTTTTTCTTTCATGCTCTGCTTTATTTACATGCATACATGAGAAAATGCAGTGACAACCTGTCCTCATTTCAACCCTTTCAATATGTTTGTCCCATCTCTCTCTTTTTTAGCTATTTCAAAATTTTAAAATGAAAGGTCATTGGGGCATAAGCCTTGTCCGCGGATGTTGAAAACAGTAATAACCCCTAACATTTAATTCATTTTTAGAAAAATGAAGGGCATGAAAAAGCTCTAGAATCATGCTTTAAATTTTAAGCCCTCAACATTGGAGCAACAACCTAACCTGCTTTAATAACATCAGCAACGGCATCTTCAGGAGCCTCGGAGTATCGCTGATATTCATATATCACAGCAACGGCATCACAGTCTGTGGTGATATATCTGTATATGCATTCACAAAGTCAATCCAAACAATATTTGCCAGAAACTGTTTTTGGAAACAGTTTGTCAAACTAAGTTTTCTGTGTTTTTTTGGCAAATGAAAACGAAAAATCATCCTCAACTAGCAGAGTTAGTGGCTACCCTTGAAACCCCCATTCAATTCGAGCTTTCTGCAAGAGATTTCTGTGTGCACATGAAGGCACTCCATTGACCTGATTATAGGCACACATCAAGCAGCTGGCTCTGCCTTCTTCAACACAACTCTGAAATGGAGGCTGATAAGTATCCTCCAAATCCTGCCTAGTCACCTGGTCACCAAAGAGTGAAACAGAATAAAGAACAAAAAACCTAATTCTTCTTCCTAAACATCAGCATCACAGACAAAATTGACTGTGTGGACGGACCATTAATTTTTATTATTTTTGGAAACTAACTGTGTCCATATGGCCATGCTTGTGGTTATGTGTGATTGTAATAATGGCTAGTTATACTAATTAGGTACCCAAAAAATGTGATTGTAATAATGGCTAGCTATGCAAATTAGGTCACATTTAATATGAACTGTAAAAGATAAACGTTAAATTTTGGAATGCAAAAACCAAACAAAAATTGAACAAAAGAAATGGTGAGGGTTCAAGTCGCTCTATCCCCAAAAGCCAATTTGACTCCTTTCACTATTGATCCTTTGGAACAACTCAATGAATTTAGTCTATCCTAGGAGGCCCCAATGACACATATCAAACTCATCCAATTTTTATAGTGCGATGGTTGGTTATTCACGGACTAGCTATACCTACTGTTTATTTTTTGGAGTCAATATCAGCAATGCAATTATAAAGTTCATATCCTAGGTGTATCAAAAAAACTTTCTTTCCCCTAAGTTGAGTGGACGGGTCCACCCTGAAACAAATCTTTTAAAATTTTCTTCTTTCATATGTTTCTAATTTGATTTATGTATTCCTAAACTTGACCAATATTGTTCAAGAGTGTTATTCACATGTATGTATGCAAAAAAGTCAAATCAAATCTTACATCATCATTATTACCTACATTTTCTTGCTACAAGAAACAGTAGTTACTCAAGTATATAAAATTGTGAATGAAAATTAGGTAAACCACAACATGGGTTGTGGTGAATTTGGTCTTACCATAGCATTGAAGCCAAAACTAGTGAAATTCCCCCAATTCTCCAAATCATAAGCAATGAAATGCTTGCAACAAGCAGACACCATCAAACCACCATCACCACCACCACCACCACCAAATCCCTCCCCCTGCAAACCCCTCACATACTCTACAGCATACTCCGCCGCCACCATCGGATCCTCGCCGGGCGTTTCTTGGCCCCTCCCCCACCTAGGATCCCTAAAAACATTCACATTAGGGGCCCAAAAGGTCAACCCAGCCTGACCCACATTGTACATTGCCCTAGCCTCCACCCCAATAGCTTTCCCAATCAAAAACCAGAGACTCCGATTAAAAGAAGCTGTAGTGAGCAACACTTGAGGGAAAACAGTGGCGGAGGAAACAGGGCCAGTGAAAGTAACCCCGGGGCCATTGGAGGCGAGGCCGTGGAGGGACTCGGACCACCACTCGTAGGCGGAGATGGAGAATCTGGAGATGGGTGTGGCGTTGTTGGCTAAAAGGTTGATTTTTTCTTGGAGGGTGAGGAGAGAGAGGAGGTTTTGAGCCCTGGTTTGGATTGGGACAGAGGTGTTGCAAAAGAGGAGGTGAGAGTTGTGGAGTGGTGGTGTACATGGAGATTTGAGAGGTGGGTTTGGGGGTTTGGAGGAAGGTTGTTGGAGGAGGAAAGAGAGTGGGGAGAGGGTGGTGGTGGTGAGGAAGAGTTTGATGAGGAGGATAGACAGGAGGATTGGTTTCCATCTCCGCCATAGCCACCTTAGGACCATTTTTGTAACTGAGGAAGGGTCATGTCATGCCATTTGGTCAACTTTTAACAGATTTGTACTGCGCTTTGACCTTCTTTGTGACGGTCTGGGACTACGAACTAGAGTGGGATCCTGATCTCCTGAATTGTAAAAATCCAACGGTTAAAAATAAAATTAACTAAAATAATATCGTTTTGATTAGTAATTTAAAAAAATTCAGTTTTAATTCAAAATTTCCTCCGTACGCAGATATAGTGTACGCAGATATAGTAGAAGTAGTAGTAGAAGGTGGGAGTGCGAGAGAGAGAAGAAGAGAGAGAAGAGAGGCGGGAGTATCGCCGCCCCGTCATTGCCATAGTCCAACCGTCACCGCTGTCACTGAGGTGAATAACATTTTATTCATCTAATTTTACTTTTCTATATTGTTGATTTGTGCATAAATTTTGAATGAAGATCTCTCTCGCTCGCTCTTTTTACATAATATCTCTAGGTATTTCATTACTCTCTTCATATTCATTGTTTATTTGATTAAAATCTAAAATTTCTCTTTTATCAAAAAGAAATTCATAACATCAATTTGAGTTTAATATTTTGTTTTTTCATAAGCTCAAGTTTTTTGGATGTAGATTGTGTAATCTGCATAAACAATGCCGTGAGTTTTAATTTTTAGTTTTTATTTAAATTTTGTGAAATAGAACCATCTGTGTTGTTTTATATACATCTCATTATTTATTCAAATAGAAGATGTATATAATAGTGGCTTGTTAAATAGGCTTTAAAATCTTTGATATCTAAACATTGCATTTATATTTTTTTTGTACAAACATATGATTATTAACCCCATAGATTTACAGTCTAGGCATTTAAACTCCAAGAATTTAAAATCCTTTCTCAAATCCAAATCTAGGTTCCCAACCACAATTTAAGAGACCAATTGAGAACTACTTAATCTGCAATGTCATGTTTAAAATATATGGACTCTGGTACTGATGATTGAGCTATAGAATTGCAGATTAATTTCTTGAAAGATTTGGAGGAATTATATTAGTATTCGTACATATCTGAAGTAACATAGTTCATTTAACTGGCCTAGCAAGCAGGTTTTGAAAGAGAGGCGGGACCCTTATCCTCTATTACAATAGCTTGTTCTTCAATAACATGGTTTCCCTTTGTTTATATAATCTAATATGAGTCAATTCTTGTAGTGTTTTTATTCAGTTTGTATTATTTTGCAAACATAATTTATAGCTTTTATGCTAATATTGAGCACTTTTTTATTTTTTAAGTGACTTGGCACATTGATATGGAACCTAACAATGTTGAGAATGACAGGGGTGATTGTGATTGGAAGCTTTGAGTTCACATGACATTTGATACAGAACAAGAAGCATATAATTTCTATAATGCTTATGGAGGAAGGCTGGGCTTTAGTATTAGAAGGGATTATATAAACAAGAGCAAGGAGAGGCAAATCACTTCAAGGCTATTTGTTTCTAATAAGGAGGGGTTTTGGGTTGTTGACAAGCGAGATCCATTAACAAAAAAATCCTAGGCAGGAAGTGAGGACTGGCTGTCAAGCCCAACTTATCATTAAGTGAGATAGGAATACTCATAAATTTTTTGTTGGCGATTTTGTTGAACAACATAATCATATCTTTGTATCAGCAGAATGTACGCATATGTTACCATTCCAAAGGAAGATATCTGCATCACAGGCAACCGAAATAGATTTAGCTGAAAAATCTAGAATCCGTCTTAATGCTGCATTTGAGCTCATGGGTAATGAAGCTGGTGGAAGGGAGTCACTTGGGTTCACAAAACTGGACCAAAAAAATTATTTGAGAACGAAGAGGCAAAAGAGTTTAGCATATAGAGAGGCAGGTAGCATTTTGCAATATTTTAGTAAGAAAACATTGGAGAATCCATCTTTTTTTACTCGATAGCGAGGAGCAGATTACAAACATATTTTGGGCTGATGCTTAGATGATCATGGATTATGGGCAATTTCGGTGATGTTGTGACTTTCGACACTACTTACAAGTTAAATATTGCATATAGACCATTTGCATCTTTCGTTGGATTTAACCATCATAGGGAAACTGTTATATTTGGCGCAATTTTGATGTATGATGGGATTGTCGATTCTTTTATATGGCTTTTTAGAAGATTCTTGGAGGCAATGTCAAGTAAGGCTCCAAAAACAATTTTTACAGATCATGATGTTGCAATGGCTAAGGCCATACCTATTGTCCTGCCTAACACAAAACACCGCCTTTGCACTTTGCATTTGATGCAAAATGTATTAAGGCATGCAAATTCCATCTTCAAGGATAAGAAGGTGAAGGATAAAGGGATAAAGAGTGTTTTATCCAACTTTATGTATGACATTCAGGATGAGGATGATTTTACGTTAAAATGGGAGGAAATGCTTGACAAGTATGAAGTACAAGATAATCATTGGTTGAAGTTAACATTTGGGATCAAGGAAAAATAGGGTTGGCCATATGTTAAAAATGCATGGGGTGTGGATATGAGTAGCACCCAACTTAGTGAATCCTTTAATGCATTCTTGAAGGATTTCATTCAGTTTGATCGTAACTTAATGCAATTTTTCATGCATTTTGATCGAGTTCTTTGTGAGAAGAGATACAAAGAGTTACAAGATGAATATGCTCTATGCCAAAAGTTGCCAAGGGTGAATATTAAAGTGAAGATTATAGAGCAAGCTGCAGATGTTTACACAAATAAATTTATGAAGAATTTCAAGATGAGTATGTCAAGTCCCTTGAAGTAAACATTGAAGAAACTGAACATGATGGTGAGAGTACTGTGTATACAGTTCTGGATAGTGATGGTGTAAAGGTGAGGAAGGTAAGAGTAGAGTGTGATGGTTCACTCACTTGCAATTGTAGGAAGTTTGAAATGAAAGGCATTTTGTGTAGTCATTATTTGAAGATCCTTAGAGACACCCTCAAATTCAAAGAGATTTTTTTCCAATATATTTTCAAGAGATGGACTAAAAAAGCAACAGCTGAAAATGTGAAAGATAAGTATGGGCATGATATTAAGGTTGATGTAAGATTGCATCAAACTTCACGCTATAGATCATTGATGGCAATTTTCAAAGCAATAGCGTGTAGAGCTTCCGAAAGTGGGGAAACATATAACTTGACGGTAGAGAAAGCGGATGAATTAATTGCAAACATTGAAAGCATGTTAAGCTCAAACTATTGGAGATTTCCTAAAGCTTCAAAACTTTATTTTTTATTTTATTTTGTTATTATTATTTGTATTTATTTATTTATTTATTTCTTTTAATAGTATTATTTGTTTGAATATTTAAACTTGTATTTGTTTTCAAAATGAATGGGTGTGTCTCTTCCCAACAGACATCAATGAGTCTATTTAAAAGATGACTCTTACTTAGAAAAAAAAAAAAAAAACATATTCTGATTACATACTCTTTCTCTTCTTGGCTATATCTTCCATATTTCTGGGCAATTGAAACAGACTTGGCAAATTCTTCTGGTGCAACTGTGCATTGTGTCAGATTCCTGTGAATTCTTGGATTGTATCTTGGAGTCGTTTGTGATCATTAGAACCTGCACAGAGGGAGAGCATAATGACTTTAGGACAGCGTCTTTGACGTGCCTCTCCGAATCACACTGGCTATTTTCTTTATGTTCTTCTTATTCTATATATATGTATATATAGTTTATATTGACTTGTTAAAACCTATTTTTTTAGAATCTGTTTTGCTTTCAATCTTATTCTATAAAGTTGATTTAAAATAATTATTATTCAATTCCCATAACAATCTAAAGTCGTTATGTTTTTTTAAAAAAAAAAAAAAAATATTACGTTCTGTATAAATTCAATTCTTACCATTCTGTACAAAACCCTATTTTCATTGACTTGCATAGTTTATTTCTTTTGTTAATCTTACTAGGCATGAACATTGTTGTTTTGATTAAATTTTATTATTTAATCCTAAGTCCCATTAACATACCATTAATATTAATTCTTTAATTTGTTGACTCGTTTTTTTTTTTTGCCCGAAACCTCATATTTTTCTGAAAGCAATCCGTGTAAACTATTGTATGAAAAATTGTTTGTTTGTTGCATGAAATTCTGTGTAAACCTAATTGTTTTTTCCATGTTTTTATGATTTAAGATCTAATAAAATAAGAGGAAAATAATAATAAAATATTTATATCACAGGTTTAATTTGTATCAAAATTTTGTCTTTATCATCTTTTATACATATATATTATTGAGTTACTGGATGTTAATTGTCAATTACAAATTTAATAACATTTGTGATTGTTTGATTGTTATTTATTTATTTTTTGTTATCTCTCATAGGTTCTATAATTATTTGCTCTCTTGTACCTTAACTAATTTATTTTTATGACTAATTTAGAAGAAACTGTTAGTGTGAAACCTGAAAAATTTAATGGGAAATTTTTTGAAAGATGGCAAAAACAAACAAAATATTGGTTGACCGCGTTGGGTCTTATGTCTGCCATAGAAAATCAGGACTTTGTTGGATCTTGGTTGTCACCCGAACAAATAGAATTTCATTATTATAACAGAATCCTTAGTGTGTTGTCTGACCATTTATATGATGTGTATCAGTCAACCACCTCGACTGCAAAAGAACTTTGGAAAACCTTAGAGGTTGAATATGGAACTGTAGATGCTGGTATTGATAGGTTCGTTGTCTCTAATTTTAATGGGTATAAAATGAAAGATGATATACTTGTAGGAGACCAAATTCATGAGTTTCAAGAACTACTTAGAAAGGTAGAAAAGAAAGGGACAACTTTTAGTGATGAGTTTAAAGTGTCTTGCCTTATCGATAAATTACCTCCATCTTGGAATGACTTTGCTAAGCATCTTAGGCACAAACAAGGAGATCTGTCATTAACTCAACTAATCAATACACTTCGGGTGGAAGAGAAGCATAGATCAAATCTAGAAATTGGAAAAGAGAAAACGCCTAAGGTAAATGTAGTGGAGAATGGGAATAAGAATAGTTCTAACAATAAGAATAGCTTTCGACTTAAAAGTAAAATTTTCAAGAACAACCTTAA